ACAGAGTGAGACTTTGTCTCAAAAAAAAAAAAAAAAAAAAGGTGGAAAAACGCCTTTTTTGTTTTTTCAATCTTTCATAGAATGCAGATGTCCTGGCTCTGAGCCAGCCATCTGAGGACCAAACCAGGCTGTGCCTAACAGTGAACTTCTTATCTTGACCCAACGGGATTACAAAAGTTAAAAACAAAAAAAATAAACAGAGGTAAAAAAGTAAACAAAACCAAAACAGCACATCAAATGGAAGCAGGGTTTTTAATCAAAGTACATCAGGAAGGCAAGAAACATGGGTATGGTCTGGGAAAATACCAGATCTGTGAAGTCCTGTGAAACAGCATTCAAACGCTTCTTTTGTTTTTCTCCCACTTTTTCTTTTCTTTTCTTTTTTTTTTTTTTTTTTCCCGTTGAGACAGGGTCTTGCTCTGTCACCCAAGCTGGAGTGCAGTGGCACAACCATGGCTTACTGCAAACTCAACCTCTTAGGCTCAAGCAATTTTTTCATCTCAGCTTTTGAAGCAGCTGGAACCACAGGCGTGTGCCACCTCACCTGGCTAATTTTTTTTTTTATGTTTGAAGGTTTTTGTACAGAGTTTCACTATGTTGCCCAGGCTGGTCTCAAACTCCTGGGCTCAAGCAATCCTCCTGCCTCAGTCTCCCAAACTGCTAGAATACTGATGTGAGCCACTGTGCCTAGCCATCACTTTTTCTTAGGAACTATAGATTTAACAGTAAGTCTCTATATCATTAATATTCAAAGTGTGGTCTGTGGATCTGCAGCATCAGCAAGGTATGAGAGATGATAATAAAGGCAAATCTCTGCCTATTTCATTTAGACCTGTTGAATCGGAAGCTGTATTTTTGCAAGATCCCTGAATGATTAATATGCACATTGACATGTGAGAAGCACTGGTCTACACTACCTGGCAAAGAGTAAAGAATAGTCCTACAGGTCAGTGATGGCAGTGCTCATTGTACATATCAAGGACACTATGGGGGACCAATTTAAGGTGGTGCATGAACTGACTTCCACTCCTAGAGTGCCATCCGTATCATTTTCAGTAATTACAGAGCTTAATACTCTACCCTTTTGCGAGAGAGAGGAGGAGAACACTCACTCCATGGCTACTCTGCCAGCATAATCACTTTGGTGTCATACTATAGCCATAGGGTTTGGCAGTTTGGCACACTCTTTCTGAAAGACCCCATGACCTTTGTTCTATATAATAGGAATAAATATATATCATCCTAGTTTTTAAATATTAACCTCACAATATCTTCTCTGGATATGTTTACAGTTTCTCTGTGGCCACTGACAAATGAGATGTAGTAATTAATATTCATCTCAGAAGAAACTTTTGCAAAAACTGAATATATCTGGAGCTAAAAGTGATTAAATTGACAATAAAATGCCTAATGCCACTGTATTTAATTACATATTTTATGGAGATCCTTTTTTAAAAATATAGAAGTGTGGACTACATGATTACTCATTTATTTAGTTAGTTAACATTTATTGAGTAACTACTATGAAACTGGCCTGGTCTAACCACTGAAGATACAAATATCAATAGGCCCTTTCCAAAAGAATGGCTCTCAGTTAATCTAGAGTAAATTGACTGCATTACAGTTCTGTTTCTGCCACTTGATATTTTTGTGACATTGAGTAAATTAAGTCTCTAAACCTCAATTTCCCCTCTATAAATGAGGATATTATTAGTATTTAATTCACTTAAGTCATGAATGAGTATCAGTATCTAAACCCTAACAAAAAGCTAGAGAATGCCTTATATGACATAACAAGAAGGAAATTGTGAAACAGCAACTTTTATGGCAATGTTTTGAGTTAGGGAGAAGGAAGGAGAGAGTAAATATATTTATAGATAATGATATTTATGATAAGATATATACCTACACCTAAGTATATAGACACACATATACTTGTACATTATATATATTTATACATGTATCTAAAATGTATATTATTGTCTTAGAAAACAGAATCCGACTAACATTTGGCAAATTGACAACTAGTTAATTGCAATTATTCACAGAGATATTAAATTTACCATACAATTTTTCTAATACAATCCATATGGTTTAGGAAAATTTGTGTTTCATCAGGAGTCCAGTATTAGTAGTCTAGCCTCTGTGTGCACCTGTAAATGTGTGTGTGTTTTCATATGCTTTCAGGAATTCGGAGCATGAGTATTTTAGGTGGCTATGGAAATGTATGTGAAAATAATAGCACTATTCCCATGCACTATTAGTACAGACCTCCTTTTCTAGATGTTTTCAAGATAAGAAATCTGTGAATGAAGGAAATAAAAAGGTCATAACCTGGAATGAAACTGAGAAAGAAATACTTCCATCTTGCTGTTAATTCAGTCCTTCATATTTGTAACAATCACTAAACCTGAAATCCCAAATGCAAGAAATTATTATTTAAATTGAAAAAAAGGTAGCTGACTTCAGCAAGAAGAATTGCAATATACTTTATAAGTAACCAATAGAAAGAAATTATTGACAAATTGATAATTCAGTGTGGCACTTGACAAATGGCAGCGTCAACAAATTAGCAGTAATATGCTTAGGCTGTGAATTGGTGGTGTGCTGAATTGATGAATTTGTCTTTTCGACCTTGGATCTTCGATCAGTTTTCTTAATGAACTTCAACATGGCTTCTGGTGCAGATAGTTGTCAGTGCCATTGCAAGAACAAAATAACTTGAGGCTTAGCTACTTTGTTGAGATTAAAGTGAGGAAAGGTGCTGTTTTTGGCCAGTCCCTAGTTTCATTGTCGTCAATACTAATGGAGATATCAAAGAGTATTCCTTGGGGATATAAGAGACAGACTTCTGAGAAATAAATTTGTGAAACCCACATGTAACTGATGACAATAACAGTCTAGAGAGGAGAAACATGACACTGTCAGGAAACGTTTGAGTGGAGAGTTTGAGGATCCTCCAGGCCACTCAGGGTGCTTTGATGAAATCTCTGGGAGGCAAGGCAGAAGAATGTGATTCATTCAGTGAGCGCGAGTGTAGTCAGTTGTATGGCGTACCTGTCCAGTGAAAGACTGCAGGGAAAAGAGGGCAGGTAACCAATATGGAGTGTAGTCATCAGGCCAGAGCAGGAGCACTGGGCAATGCATCCTTAATGACATTCAGAGTAAGGAAAAAAAAGAACCAATTGTACTAGGATCCTAGTCACCTGGTGGTTCTGCGTCTACAGTCTGAATAGATGGTTTAGGTAGTCAGTAATCAATAGCCCTAGCTAGTAAAATCTTTAATTAGCCCCTCTTGCTCTGAATTCATATTCAATAATCAACTGTTAGGTAATAATTTATCTTCTGGAACAGTTATTTCTATAAAGAATAAATGTGTTGAGTAGCAAAGTTCTTGGCTCATTTTGCAGTCACATGTTGAAGTTTAAATAAATGAACATTTAGGTATTTTGGCTTACACATTTTCCTCGTTTACTTTTGGATAGTAGGATGCAGTTCCTGAACAAAATTCCGAAAGCTGGATCTAAAATGTGAGGACCAGACTCTGGGTCAAAGAAACCTCTTTGAAGCTAGACTTGGGGAAAGAAACAGATTCCTTTCTAACAGCAACAGATATCTATTTTCTTGTAAGCATTATTGATAGGCAATCTACTACCTTAACACAAAAATAATCCAAATGATAGATTTAAAATTCTTCACATGTGAACAGGACTTTAATTAGATTTTAGGTTGATAGCAAAACTTTCTCACGAGGTGCAGTCACATGCAACTATAGTTCCAGCTACTTGGGAGGCTGAAGCAGGAGGATCGCTTGAGCCCAGGAGTTCCAGGCCAGCCTGGACAACATAACAAGGCCTCATCTCATAAAATAAAATAAAAAATGTCTGTGTTTGTCAAACTTTCTAAATTTATTTTTTAAACTCATAAGGCATAGAAAAATATTTGACTGTGAAAGATGTGTTCACACCCACCCACTTGTAAAATAGTAATTTTCTCTCTCAATTTTTCATTTCCCTCAAGAAGAAAATAAAGGAAAAAAGGAGCACAGTAAAAGCCATGATTTTTTGAAGCCAACTGAAAGACAGATGGAAAAGAAGGAAACTAAGGTACCTGATATTTTAAGTATTCTTTCAGAACAGTAGTCCTGTTTGAGTCAGTCTTGATTTCTTTTAAAGAAATGACGTAGGCATGTTCATTTTTATAGCCCTTTAATTGTGTATATTAGTACGCAGTTTTCAAATGACAAATAGATAAGTAAATGAATTAATAACTAAGTATTGATGTCCTTAGTTTGGTTCCTTTTATATTATAGTCTAATATAATTATGCCAAGTTAAGCCCCTTCCTCCCAAAGGAAATAAGATACTACAATTCAGAAGAATTCCATTCTCAATAATCTATATTAAAATGAAAATTTAAAAATGTGACAAGAACAACGGGAGGATTCATAAAGTGTTTAAACACTTGAATTTTGAATTACTTCTCTTTTATCTATTTTTTCTTATTTTATTTGATACCTATGTGACATACTTAATGTTAATTAAAGACAGTCAAGAGGAAACCAAACAGATTAAATTTCTAGGGGGTTGGAAGGAGTGGAGTGGGTGGCTTTGTGCTGCCTTCACACACATTCTAATTCCAAATGTAGCTTTCAGGCATAGAGATGTACATTAATTTATATATGCACAATTTCAGAATTTAAAAATGGCAGATTACCTGGTTAATAAATGTTAAGGAAACTAAAATGTTAAAGTAAATCTCTAAGCAGGCAATTGTTTCTTTATATATAAGCAAAACACATAACTTTATGGAATCTGCATATTAATAAGCAAATCTTAACGTTTAATGATCTGACAGGTTCTTTTCTAAAGTCTTGGGCATGTATAAAGCGGAATCTCTAAAGTAATCACCTACAGCTAATCTGTAGCTCAGCTGGGTTGCTGGGTGGTTTACTTGTAAGTAACAAGGGAGAATTGAAAACTAATTTATCTTATTGCTTACATAGTTATAAGCAAAGACTTTGCAAAGTTATGGAGTCAGAGTTGATAATGTAAGTAATTTTTCTGGATATAAGAACTATCATGGACCATGAAGAACTGAGTGTGTTTCATGTAACTACAGTCTATTCAATAATCTGCTAAAGGTTGATAACAATTGATGCTACTCTTTAGTGCTTCTTGTGAACTGGGCACTGTAGAAGCACATAGTATAGCAAGTTGATGGTTCTGAGCTTGTGAAGATTTCATTATGAAGATGTGCTTTAAGAGGAAAAGCAAAAATAAATAAAAAAGTAGACATTAAACAACAATCCTCTAAAAGAATATTTAAAGTATTAATGATGACATCATCTTCCTAATTTGTTACCCCACCGCCTACACCTCAGTCCCTTTCCTGTACTCTTTCCATGTGTGCCACAAAAACTTCTCCAGTCTATGAGAAATCTAATATTCATTCCAATTTATTTAGTAAATTCCAGGTGCCTTCTTTAGTGCTATGCCTAATGAAAGATATGACATAGATTTAGCATCCATTTGGCTTTACATTCTATTGCAATAAATATATTCTCATAGATAAGCATGTATTGTGACTGCACTGACAACAATTAAATGCATAATTTATAAAACAGCTGATATGGAGGCCGGGCGCGGTGGCTCAAGCCTGTAATCCCAGCACTTTGGGAGGCCGAGGCGGGTGGATCACGAGGTCGAAAGATCGAGACCATCCTGGTCAACATGGTGAAACCCCGTCTCTACTAAAAATACAAAAAATCAGCTGGGCATGGTGGCGCGTGCCTGTAATCCCAGCTACTCAGGAGGCTGAGGCAGGAGAATTGCCTGAACCCAGGAGGCGGAGGTTGCGGTGAGCCGAGATCGTGCCATTGCATTCCGGCCTGGGTAACAAGAGCGAAACTCTGTCTCAAAAAAAAAAAAAAAAAAAAAAACAAACCAGCTGATATGTATTAATTTTCCTGAGATGTAACATCTTTCCATAATATATTGTACTATACTTTGGTTGGGAAAATTAGTTCATACATTTTATCAAAATCTAGAAAACAGCAATTTCTGATTTCTTTTGTGAGTGTCATCTTTCCCAAATAAATCTCTATCACATAGATATTTCTCCACCAAAGAAACATATATAGCCAAGTCCTAAGCACGTTTGTTGTTGTTGTTGTTGTTGTTGTTGTTGTTGTTGTTAGAAAGTGATTTATTTAGAGAGAGAGAAACAGGAGAAGGAGAGAGAAAGAAACAGCTAACTCTCACGCTGAGTGAGAGAATCCAGAAAGATGGAATCCAGGAGAGGAAAGCAGCTTTCACACTGAGTGGAAAGGAATAGCGAGAGATGGAGTTTAGGAGGGGAAGACAGGCTTCCATGAGAGAGTGTGGAATGGGACCCCAGAGGGGAAATCCAGGAAAGAGACCTAAACACTTTTACATAATTTACACATCAAATGTGCATCTACTTTTTCCCCTGGAACCATTGATATATAATGTGAATGATGAGCATATGGGTTTAGCATTAAGAGAAATAATTTACTTCTCTTGCCAATACTTAATAAAAAGTGTCAGTAACAGTGAGAGTTAACCAAAGCTTAGGAGCTACAACATATCTAGAGAGAATTCATGGCAAAGTAAATAAAGGCAACCTGGTTAGCTCCCACATTTGGACTCAAGGATCTCAGAACGATGAAACTCCAGAAGGTTTCTGGGTGTTTCTGTGAACCATCACTTCTGTTTCTGATTGAAAATCTACGGGCATCCTCACAAAAGGAGGTACTATTCTCTGAAGGGCTGAATCTTATTGGCAGCCCAGGGCTCTCTGGAGGGGCTGGGCCATGAAACTCCTGAATGCCCGCCTCCTTGGGGAAGGAGAGACAAAGCAATTGTCTTTTTCTATTTCTGTTCTCAACCCCAGCAGGATGCACAATGAAGAAACACACAGTCACAGAGTACACCTCTGAGACAACATCTCTCGTTACCATCCCGGAATACTTGGCATTATTTGAATTTCACGAACACCCACACTGCCCTTGTTCCCCAATCTCCAAATGGTTCAGGTGAACCTGTCAGGAAGCAGGACCAGTGTGACAATGAATAAGTTCCTGGTGTGAACCTCTGTAGCTCAACCTCTCCCTGATGTAATCTCGGTTCCTTCTGTGGCTGCAGAAATGGGAATAAAGGATCTGAAATATTAGCTGATTGCAAGTGACCCTCTAAGGTTAGAGAGGCAGGGAGCAGACGAGGGAGTCCCAAGTGCCCCAGTGGCGCTTATTGTAACCTACCTGAAGGGAACGTTTCTAGGACACAAAACAACCAGTGCGAGTCCACTGTTGGAAGTGTTCTCTTAATCTCTTTGGTGAAATGGGAAAATTTTGAGTTCAGTTCCTCTCGGGAGTGGAAGAAATAATCCTTTCCAAGGTAGCTTCCCCTAGCAGTTTCCTGCCTCTTGTGAAATGAGATTTGCCGTCTTGAGACGTGGGTCCCGCGGAAGTCTTACCTGTAGACCCCCATTCATTGATGGATGAATGAATGCACTCCCACCATAGTGTTTCAGGTGGACTAGGGAATGGCCACTGGTTGCTTTCAGAGGGTGAAATGCAACCAACGGACCTAGACCCTCGGTCTGTCCACACTTTTATTCATAACAGAGATTCTAAGTTAACACACTTGTGGATAATTAACATTGTTAAGAGAATGGTTTTACAACTGATGGAAGCTTTTGGTTCTGGGTCCCAGAGTAAATGCAATTAGCAGGTAATCCCCTTTGGTCCTCCGGAGAAACCACCCAGCACAAAATTAACATGAGTAAACAGTGGAGACAAATGAATGTGGAATAAGGCCTTTTGATCAGTCTCTAATTTCCTTCCTATGCTAATATTAACAAGTCTCTAATTTCCTTCCTGTGCTAACGTTAATCTGCCCCAATAAAACCAATTGGCCTTCCAAAAGGTTTGAGATTACAATCTATGTCTTTCCTAACAGTTTATATCTTTAATATCTTGCCAGCCACCCCGAGTGAATAGCAAGACTGTCTAAGATATTATCATATTTATTTGTGTTTTGCTGAGTTCTTCCACTGGACGTAAGGCAGTAAAAATATTATTTGGAAGTCTGTCAATGAATTACACAATTTAGAAAGTTTTTAGAAAAACTAGGGTTCTAATTCTGAGTTAGAAAAATTAGATTGATTTCAGTCAGTGGCAAACACAGGAAAATGTGTACTGAATCATATTTCTTTAAATATCAAAATTAGAAGATTGTGAGGTCAAATGAGGTCATCTCCTGAAGCTTCTGTAGTAGGAATGGTGATCCATGATGAAGGACAGGGTTGGATTTATTTTCTTTAGACTATCCACCATTGAATAGTAGAGACAGGGACTCTTATGGTCTATTTCCAAACAGAGCCCAGATTTTTACAGACTGATCGAGGCACAATGCTCAGACCTACATCTCTTTAGAGGCTCACTTTGCAAGGAAAAAAAATCATTCTGCTCTCGAAGGTGGCTGCAGGAAGTATTCACAATGAGTCAATTAATATCAAAATCTCCTGTTCCAGGAGACTGTTAGTAAGTGTTACAAAGGAAATTTTATGTGCTCACGTAAGTTTAGAAAACACTGGCTAAAAACTAGAATAGAATTATTCTTTCCTAGAGAAACTTACAGCGTTCACTGTTGTAATATGAATTGTGATTCCTAGATGGAGGCATCTGATGTGAAATAAGTCTCCAACTTGTTTGACCACAGAACTTATTTTTAAAGTCCTCTGAAGGGACCAGTGTTTTGGAAAAGATTATGGGAGCTGTGGGACTGGATCATAGGCTAATGAGGATATTGTAAGGGGTATTGTCCTGGGGTGGGACTGGCTGCACCACGATTTGAGGAGATCAATTTCTAGAATTCATCCCACATCTGCCGAATTAGTCATTTAAGGGCAGGAGATAGCTCCATTTTAAATAAATGTCTCAGATAATTCTCATGTCCATTGAGAACACAGGTCCCATCAGTACAGAGTTGGGTTAGGAGCCTCTCAAAGATGTAACTTCCTAGGTCACTGTCAATCACAATGCCATACATAATCTTTTCATAAAGCCCTTTCTACTCCCAGCACTCTCTTCAAAGTATTCTTCACTTCTGAGTTCCTAAGACTATAGATAAGGGGATTGAGCATGGGATTAAAGAGGCTGTGAAACAGCAGGAGATATTTCTTCTGCTCCTTGAGGTTTCCATATCTGGGTCCAACATACATGATAATGGCTGTGCCGTAAAAGAGTCCAACCACACAGAGGTGGGAGGAGCAGGTAGAGAAGGCTTTCCTCTGACCTTCCCCTGATCGGATCTGAAGGATGGCACAGAGGATGCACATATATGAAACTACAATTGAGGACAAGGGTCCCACCAGCACAGAAATTGCTCCGGCCAGGACCATGATCTCATTGATGTGGGTATCTGCACAGGCAACTTTGAGAACAGCCATGATTTCACAGAAAAAGTGATTAATTTTCTGGGGCCTACAGAAGGGTAAAGGTAGAAGTAACACTAGATGAATCAAGGATAGAAGGACTCCGATGGTCCAGGAAGTCACCACTAGGGTGATGCAGACTCTCCAGGTCATGATGGCAGAATATCGGAGAGGGTGGCAGATGGCCATATACCGATCACAGGACATCACCACCAGGAAGAGACATTCTGTATGTGCAAAACTCAAAAACAGAAATATCTGTGTCATGCAGCCAGCAAAGGAGATGGGCTTGGCTGGAAGCAGGAGGTTCACCAGCATCTGGGGCACCGTGTTGCAGGCGTAGGCGATGTCGACGATGGCCAGGTGTGAGAGGAAGAAGTACATGGGGGTGTGCAGTCTGGAGTCCAGTGAGATGAGCCCCAGGATGGCCCCGTTCCCCAGCAGGGCAAAGATATAGAACAGGGAAAAGAGCCCAAAGAGGAGCATCTGAATCCGTGGGCTGAGGGGAAATCCCAGTAGGAGGAACTCTGTGATGGAAGTCTGATTTGTCCCCATTTCTCTGTAGAAGAAACAAAGGAGCTTACCAAGTCTGAATATCTGAGGCAAATGTTTAAACATGATGTAACTGTACATATTATGGCTTAAGTGTTTCCTAAAAAAAAAAAACCTTCAATGATATTTTGATCTTAGTCACTTACTAAGAGAAAAATTATGCATTTAAAAATGAAGCACAAGGAAATTTTGTCACCAATGATAAATTCAATGTTAGTATGATATTATAGTATTCATTACATCTTGTT